AGAGAGAGAGAGAGAGAGAAAGAGAGTATAGATGCTATAAAATACACTGGAGCCAAGCTGGAGCCTGCTGCTTGCAGCATTCCCAATAAACAGACAGAGGAAAAGGCGTTGCACACTCGTCCTGGTGTAAATACCTGCAAAGCACTAGAGATACAAAACATGCCTGAGATGTGAAGCCATTAAAACACACCACAGCACAGCAAATTGTCAATGTAATTACACATCGACTCACTGCGTACCGCAGACCTGATTCTCAGGCTCAGGAAGCAAGGCCCTGCTTTAGGCAGGAGCAAAGTGCCTCACATCTCTCTGCGCGAGCAGACTCTGCCAGAAGAGCAATGCAGGCAGAGACGTTACCCAGACCTGAAACGCTTTTATCTGTCCTTAGAGAGAGCTTTCCTCCAGCCCTGGACATTAGCGCCGCCGCCGCCGCGGGCGCGGGCAGCTTGCTGACCGCTCATGCATATCAATAACCGGGGTGCTTGCGATTTCTCATGACATCATCATTACCTTGGTCTCCCGCGGTCCAGGACCTCTGACCTTGCCGGGCTGGTCCACATTTTGGCACTGAAAGCCCTCCAATGATGGCCCTTTTCTCCTTCTTTCAGACCGGGGGCAGCAGCAAGCCAGCAAGACCGCATCTTCTTCTCCCCAGCTCTAGGAGCCCTGAGAAATCGAGGATCTTCCCCCCCAAAACACACACACATACGAGATATTTGCAATCAAGCTGCCACCATTTGGTAAAAAGCTCTATACCGTGCATAATCTAAAAGGATCAGGAGCTGGATCCTGGAATCATCTTGTCACTTTCTGCTGAAATGGGATTTTTTTTTCCTCCTTACACTGCGCTGGAAATTGCCGATGGCTTTACGTCTTTATAGAGGCTAAAGAGTCTTTCGTGAGAATGAAGCAATTTACAATGCAAATAGAGGCCTGTGAAGGGATGGATGCTTCTCAGTCTTAACACAGCTTGATGCACCTTAATAGCTGGTTTTATTTTCCGATATTAACAGATGAATTGTTGGCTCTCGCTGCCGGAAATTACTGGCTGAAAGAAAAAGTTCGGAATAAACTTTGAAGGCAACAGATCTCTTTTGGATGTTATTAGCTGCACAGACACACACACACACACAAACCAGGTCACAATTGCATAAAAGGATGAATATTTTAAAGCAGCACTAGTACTCTTGGAGGAAACAACACGCCTGTTTGTCAGAAAGAATCTGGATTCTAGCAAGGAAAAAAAATCTTTGAGGGAAGCGAGTTGTTATCTTTGGTTATCTAGCTGTATGAGTGTTTTGGTCTTCATAAAGCTAGATAACCGAAAGTAAAAACTCCTTCAAGATCATCGTGCAGCGTGTGAAAATGAAAGACTACTGCGAGAGACAGTAAAACCCGAGAAAGGTCAGGAATGCTTATTGAATCTAACGTTTTTACAGCTAAAGGTGGGAGTGGAGGAAATTAAATGGCATACTTACTCCAAAATATGAAGTTGTCAGATGCCACACTTAAATGGATAGTTAAATACTGCAAAGAGGAAATGGTACTGATGGTAAACAATGCATGTGCAACTATTGCTGTTAAATAAATAAATAAAAAGAAACCCGGACCAGTTCATTTCTAACTGGGCTGAGGCGATTTTTTAGCAAGCTGCTTGGAAATGCTGAGTTTCATTTTGCAGAATGATTCATTGCAATGAAATAGCCTTAAAAATAAAGCTGGTGGTGATGCTGATGAAGATGATGGTGGTAGTGATGATACAGTGTGGACTGAACTGAAAAAAAATCTGTCTGTGTGCATCTTAGACAAAGCATTGGGGGTTTATTTCAAATAATATGAAACCAGTCTTTCAAAAAAGTTTACACCGAAGTGTAGGCAAGCTTAATAATTTATATCTACTGAGAACTCGGTGGAGCTGCACAAAGATGAAAAAAGTGATGGCTGATTTTTATTCTTCTATTCAAAATGCGAGCACAGATGCTT